AAACAATATTTGATGAAAGAAGATCTCTTGGAAGCAATAAAAATGTTGCGAGTAATTCGAAACAGTAGGAAGCACGGTGGAGTAATGGATAGAGGCTCGAACTGAGCAATCGGAGAGCCGAGTTCGAATTCCAGTCGACTCCATTCACTTATGTGCTAATACCCTTAAAATACATAGAAAATGCTGTTGAGAAATTAGTTTTCTTGTATTTCAACCGACTTAGCCGTTTCTCTTTGCGATGTTTACTAAAAGGTGATAGTTTAGCTTTTGTGTTTTTCCGTTAACGACCATGGAGAATATACAGTATATTAACATTGTGAGTATTGCTAGCACACACTTTATTTCAGAAATTGTGCACGTATTGATATCTATATATGATCATTTATTGTAAGCCAGCTATATTACTTTACATCTTGAGAATATTAAAAATGCATCTTCAGTGCGCGCCAATTTTATCTTGTCTTTGCATCTCTTCTCCCCCAGCTATGGGTAAATAGCAGGACAGACCGTGTTCTATAGCCTTGGATGGCAACCGGTCTACCGCAGAAATAAATAGCAACCTACTGCGGAAAAAAATCTGCCTCGTTAGTCACGTATCATTCGATACGTGATCGCTTAAGCGTATATCACGCATTGCACATAAGTGTCTAACTGAGGAAAGTTAACAAAATCAATGGGCAAAAATGATATATATGAGAATAGGAGAATTATCTGATCAAGCATCTGTGGTAAATAATAAAATGGTGGAGAGAATATTTATCTGGATTTCGAGGAGGTGGAGTTATCGTTATTTCCATCCTAGGACGTTGAGTTATCATTATTTCCATCCCAGGACGTGGAGTTATTATCAGACCCGGCGCGTACTACCGCCGACTCCCAGTCAACTCGAGGCCCAAGCTTGATTTGGTGTGCTTGGTACTGCTTTCTGACCCTCAATATCTTATCAACATTTGCTTTTTTCTACTTACATTTATATAAAGTACAAATTAAACTAAGCACAATTGACTATTAAAGGATGGAAGATTTTCGCCGATTTTGACGTTATTGTGGGCTCTTTTTTTCGTACAAATCCATGAAATTGTTTGGTTCATAAGGCTCGAAAAACACTATATAAAATTCACATTTTTTATCTATAATATTGAATTATTTTAATGAGAAAAATCTCAAGTTGATACTAAAAATTGCAGCAAAATATAGTTAATTTATTTCAGATGAAATGATCTATCATGACATTGTACATCGTATTTATTTTCAATTTTTCTAGATAAATTTATATCGCATATGATCCATGATTGTACATAATTAAGTTACAATAAAATTTATATTTTATATGAATGCTACATTATGAATATTAAGATGTAATAGAGTAGGGAGGAGGGGTATAACAGATTCGAGGACCGCGTATCATAGATTCGGTGGGGATTCATATGACCTTTGCACCCGCGCTGGTTAACATTATGTACATCCTGAGACGTGCAGTGATCATTATTTCCAATCTGTTATAAGGAGTTATCATTATTTATATCCTGGGACGTGAAGTTATCGTTATTTTTATCCTGTTATGAGGAGTCACCATCATTTACATCCTTGGATGTGTAGTTCTCATTATTTACATTCAGGGGCGTGGAATTATCATTATTTATATCCTGTGACGTGAAGTTATCATTATTTGCACCCTATTATGATGAGTTATCATCATTTACATCTGTGGATATGTAGTTCTCGTTATTTATATTCAGAGTCGTGAAATTATCATTATTTGCAACCTGGAACTTAAAGTTATCATTATTTGCATCCTTTTATAAGGATATAACGTCAATTACATCCTTGGATGTGTAGTTCTCATTATTTACATTCAGGGGCGTAGAATTATCATTATTTACATCCTGGGACGTGAAGTTATCATTATTTGCATTCTGTTATGAGGAGTTACCATCGTTTACATCCTTGGATTTGTAGTTCTCATTATTTACATTCATAGGCGTGGAAATATCATTATTTACATCCTGGGACGTGAAGTTATCATTATTTGCATCCTGTTATAAGCAGCTATTCTCAGTTACATCGTTAGATGTGTAGTTCTCATTTAGGGGCGTGGAATTAACATTATTTACATTCTGGGGTGTAGAGTTATCATTATTTGTATTCCTGGGCGTGAGGTTCTCATTATTTACATCCTCGGACATGATGTTCTCATTATTAGAAGTAACAGGTACTGTAAGCTTATATTATGCGGATGTTTTAATACTGACGGGTTGGAATTGAGATTTAAGTTATTGGAACTTAAATCTCAATTCCAACCCGTCAGTATGGGTTCATTATATTCACTTGCACACAAAGCCCCTTGGAATACGTATGAGTATACCTTTTCTTCTCCCAGCAAGAAAGGCAATCAATTCTTATAGATAAATTTGGTTTAAAACGGGAGTTTAAAATGTTAGTTCTTTCCATTCTCTATTTTCTTTTCAGAAAGTTAATATAATAAAATGCTTCCTCCAACACCACCCATGTTCTGCAATAAGATCTTTGCATTTAATTTCACTTGTTTCGTCATGAATTTCATTTTTCTTTTCCTTATAAAGGAGCACATTTATGGTTCATTAAAAATGGCGAGAAAGTTAAAAAAAAAAAGAAAAGACGCCTATAAAATTAATTATTAGTGATAATTTGATTATAAAACAGAGACAATAATTAATTTCGTGTGATTTAAGTGGATTGACCAAGATTCAGGGAACTGAATGTGCCAAACCATTGAAATTAATGGTGTGTATCAGTAGATCATTATTAACCCTCGCCCCAAATGTAAAAATATTCCTTTAAATAGCCTGCAAAAGGTTGATAAGCCGTAAACTAGTAACCTTCCATCATCACCGTGCAGGTCCTGAATTTTTCACCCATAATCATGTACGGTTGTTTTGTACATGGTACATTGACGTGGTCTGATGGAAAGCAAACTTGCCTCGCTAGATCAATTACAACTGAATAGTGAGTACGATTCTCACCTAGCGCTCAATACTTTCGGCCTTGTGCCACATCTAAGCTACTTTTAGTAAATCACTAGAGCGCTTCGACCTAATTTAATGGCTAGCAAGTCTGTTTCGCTAGACCAATTACGGCTTAGTGTGTTCGATCTTCACTGGGTTTCCATGCTTTTGGCCTTGTGCCACATGTGCGCTACTCTTACTAAATATACTGGCTGCGTCATTTTATATTTTAATTTCGCGCATGCGTGTTATTTGTTTTTGATTTTGTCGACTGCACAGAATAATAGAGTCTGGTGGATGCCATCTATAAAAAAAAATGCACCATAAAGCTTTTCATTCTGTCAGAAATTTGGAAACGGCATGCTGTACTACCTGACATTCGCGCTGGAAGCTCCAGTATGAACATTTCAGAGTGTTTGGGTGTCAATCTGAGGAGAGTGATGACGATTCAGAAAGAGTTGGATGAGTCTAATGATGATTACGAAGGTACGGTAGCTCGGAAAACTTACTCTGATCGTTCTAATAACAAAAAACTCCCGAATGTATTGCCGAGGACCGAGGACTCAACACGGAGTCCTACATCTAGTGCCTTGAGGAGGTAGTGCTGCCCTAGATCAAGATAGTTGATACAGGAAGAACCTATATCTGGTAACAGGATTCTGCACGATCCCATATAAGCAGGAGAACCCAGTCATGGCTGTCAGGCAATTTCTGTGACTATATCACCCCTTACATCTGGCCACCTAACTGCTTAGACTGCACCCCCCTTGATTATTATGTGTAGGGCGCATTTGCGCGACAAATCAACAAAACACCTTGTAACAGCAAAGATGAACTGAAGGCAAGGATTATGACAGCATTCACCAACTTAAACAAGGAGACCGTCCAAAAGAGATGCAGGAGATTCCGAAGTCGTCTGGAGGCCGTGGCTGAAGCCAATATTGATTTTACTGAATAAATTTACTCTTTAGTATTTCAAGATATTTTTGTGTAATTTTAGCAAATATATCTGTTAAAAGGAGATGTCAGTGTTATTTACATTTTTGCCTAATTTAGACGACAATTTATCCATCGCACCCTGTAGATATAGGTGAAGGCATATTTCTTCAAGATATGAGAAATCATGGCTCTCCACATCTTCCTGTCTTTTCGCTCTGCTCCTTTATGGCCCGTCATTCTCTTATTATGCTACTTATTCGTCCATCCATTTGCTCAAACATGGCATATTGGTTATCTAGTATTTTCCTCTTGTCTTGGATTTATCATGTGAGTGTTACAATCTCCGAGTCTATTTTCTCGTTATGTATCCCAAATATATCAGCTATCCCCTCCTGATTTTGAGCATTAGTTTCTTTGCTATTTCCATTTTCTTCATTTTTTTTCAATTCACACATAATCTGTCCATGATATTCGCAACTTTCGAAAGTTCATTAAAAAGATTTTCAAGAAAGGCAATCAATTCTTATAGATAAATTTGGTTTAAAACGGGAGTTTAAAATGTTAGTTCTTTCCATTCTCTATTTTCTTTTCAGAAAGTTAATATAATAAAATGCTTCCTCCAACACCACCTATGTTCTGCAATAAGATCTTTGCATTTAATTTCACTTGTTTCGTCTCGAATTTCATTTTTCTTTTCCTTATAAAGGAGCACATTTATGGTTCATTAAAAATGGCGAGAAAGTTAAAAAAAAAAAAAGACGCCTATAAAATTAATTATTAGTGATAATTTGATTATAAAACAGAGACAATAATTAATTTCGTGTGATTTAAGTGGATTGACCAAGATTCAGGGAAATGAAGGTGCGAAACCATTGAAATTAATCTAGGACGCATACAAGTTGGTTCCACTAACCGCTTTTTTCCATTATGTATGTGTGAGAAAACGGGTGCTTCCGATCTACGCATGCTCGCAAATGCAGAAACGCATGCGTACATCTTGCTTCGACTTTCAGTTGAGTGTCAGGGCAAAGCAATTATCGATATTTTACGTTGATCTGCAACGTAATGGAAACATGTTTAATAGACGAAAAAGATAAAAAGGAAGAATTGAAAAAGGGAACTAGAAGGCGTAGAAGAAAGAAGGAAAGTAAAAATAAATGGGAGACAATAAGGAAGAAAAGGAAAATCGAGAAAGAGAGAGAGAAAAAATCGGAGAAGAAGAATTTGGGGAAGTAAAGAGAAAATGGAGGAGGAAAAAGTATGCAAAGAAAGGATATAAAATGTAAAACGAGAAAGGCAGAAGAAAAAAGAAAGGATGAAGTAGTTAAAAATGAAACAAATGAAACAGAGAAGAAAGTGGGGGCGTTTAAAAATACGAGATGGGGAAAGACGGAAAAAGAGGAGAAAGAAAGAAAATATAGACGGAAAAAGATTAGGAAACTAAAAAATAAAAACAGGAAAATGAATAAGAGATTCGAAAAGAGAAGCTAAAAAGGTAACACTCTAAGGAAATAATGCGAAACATCTTCATTTTATTTATTTATTTAATTTGGAACTTATTTTTGTTTTCCTTAATAAAGCATATTTTCGATGAATCCGTTTATTTGGCATGTACCAGCGTTATGCGTTTCTACCTCAGGTCAGCGCACCTTTACCTGGCCTTGTGTAGTATCAGCCTTCGGGCGGACAAACTAGATTTTATCTCTCAGGGTCCATGACACAACCTTGCTTGGTGCCATTTGTGACATCAAAGGATTCTGACATCATACCACCAGACACGATATTAGCTTTCATTTCTTCGTGAAAGGAGATGTTGACCTTTAGCATGTTTTCAGAGATGCCAAGTTTCCTCAATACTTCCCAAAGAGCCTCTCGATACACACACACACACACACAGATAGATAGATAGATAGATAGATAGATAGATAGATAGATAGATAGATAGATAGACGTGGGTTTGTTATGGCTGATATAGCGAGACTCTTCGGCAAAAGCGAATTGAGTCACTGTGTGTGTTTATCTAAAAAATAAATACGCTAAAATTCACCTTCACGGCTTAGTCGTAGAATCTCCAACTGACACCAATTCAGTCGGGTTTCGATCCTAGCTAGAGGCAACCGGATGTCTAGCCACACTGAAGAGCTGTGAAACAGCGAAACAGTCTGTCTGTGGATGATATATATATATATATATATATATATATATATATATATATATATATATATATATATATATATCATAACACGGTTGATCCAAGCCTTGTGAGTAAAATTGGGTAGACAGAACACTTGGGGGCCGCTGATAGCTGTACTAGCACGAAGTTACAAGTCATCGTGACAGAGGGGGTGAGTGTGCTGGCATTGTTCAGATTGTTGATGACGCTCTTTCCCATAAACTATAAGTAAGGTCTGCTCACCATAGTTGCAGTATAAACCTACTAACACGGTGTCCCGTATGGGGTCTGTCCTTGGTACTACGCTGTTTTTAATTTTCAGTTAATGACCTCCCCGATGACATCAGCTCTCAACTTGGTGTCTCCGCTGATGACACTACTATTTACTTCTGCCTCGATAGTAAAGCTGATCAGTCAGATAAGCTCAAGAGTGTCGTTAACCGGGGGAAAAGATCGTTTGCCAATTTTAACGCCTCCCAAACTAAAATTCTCTTTGTTAATCATCTGAGAGACCCTTCTCTGACTTCCCTCAGTATGGCTGATGCTATCCTCCAAGAAAGTGACTCATTGTGCCTTTTCGGGCAAACGTTCTCAGCTGACATGAGGTGAAAAGATCAGCTGCCAAAAAAAGTCGGTGTCGACCGAAACAATTCTTCTCTCCAGAATTTATCTTACATATCTATGAGACTACGATCCGTTCATCCTTAGAATATTGCTGCCATATATAACCAGTGAACCTGCTATTTTCCTAAAGCTCTTCGATAAGATCCCAAAAAGAATCAGCAATATTATTAGCCCAGATCTGGCGGCTCAGCTTCAGTTACGTGCCCACCGCCTTAAGGTTGCTTCTCTGTGCCTTTCTTTTTATAAATACTTTCATGGTAATTGTTCAGTTGAGCTCTTCGCCATGGTACCTAGACTGTATGAATTTAAGCGCAACACTAGAGTGGCGGCGGGATCTCATCAATTTATAGTTAAACTTGCTAGATGTCGCCGTAACATCTACGCTAACAGTATCTTATCCCGCACTTCTCGCTTGTGGAACTCCTCACTCGTTACCATGCTTTACAACCAACTTTAATCTGTAAAAATTTAAATGCAATGTCAATCGCTATCTCCTGCCCTCCTGACTTGAGTACTACTGGCTGTACTGCTTTGCTTGGGGCGATAAAGATTGAATATATATATATATATATATATATATATATATATATACTCGTAAAAAAACAAATATATCAAATATATAGCTAGTTTGGAAAAAAGTTAACGTGAAGAAATACCTAAATTTACTAAAAAAGATCTAAAAAGAAAATAGAATTATCATTTCCTAGACATAGGATCATAAAGTGTGCCATTTAATTAATAGTCAATGCTTTTTTTCCTTCGATAACTATATATATATATATATATATATATATATATATATATTTTAAAAGAAAAGCAGATATAGGTTCCATTATATATTTATTTCACCAGAGCCCTTTTTAAAGGACCCTGGATCATCAGATAGGACTTCCAAATGATAAAACGAAATGAAATGAAAATTCATACTTTTGATGGGTAGTGTAAGTTTTTGTAATTTAACAGAGCGGGTAATGAAGGGAGGTTTGAGAGACATGGTCGAGTTTAGAGAGGGTTTATTTAATATTTCTCTCAATCATACTTAGTATTGGGGGAGGAGGGACCAGACCTTGACCTACTTAATCTGTTAACTTATATATACGGTGTATGAAAAATATTTTAACAAATTTTGTGGGTGGCTTCCTGACACCAAAACAAATAAAATGTCAATATAAACATATGTGCAAAAGGCCATCATTGTACCCCAATACAGCAACTCATAACAAATGCTCAAAATGTCCTCCACTTACTTTTACACACTCTTTCACCCTTTCAAATACTACCACTCAGTGTCGAATGATTTCGCAGACCCCTACACGTTGATGAAGCGTCACTGCATTATTAATGTTTGCTGCATAAACAAATTGTTTTAGGTGGTTCTATAGATAAAAATCCAAAGGATTGAGGTTGGGGCAACGTGCGAGTCATGGAATCAGTCCTCCCCTACCTTTCCTTATCAATGTATCGCGAACAGTATGGCTAAAATGTGCTGAGTCCGCATCATGCATGAACCACATCAGGGGTACATCCTCTCGCAGGTCTGAAAGTGTGTTCGAAATAAAGTTCATGCAGACAGCTTCTGCAAGACGTGCTGGAAGAACATATGGACCTACAAGACAGTCATCTACAAATCTAGCTCAAAATTAATCGTAAACTTATGCTGATGTCTAGCCTGTATTGGACCATGGGGATTTCAATTCGCCCACAAATGTTGTTTGTGTAAATTTGTTATTCCGTCTCTTCAAACTTTGCCTCAACCGTAAACAAGACTGGAGAGACAAACAACGGATCGGCAGTTTGTGCAATAAACCATCGGCAAAAGTTATCCCGTGGTGAATGATCAGATGGCGAAAGACCTTGCACACATTGCAAATGATACGGATACAGGAGCTGCTTTTGAAGTACCCTCCATGCGGTACTATGAGATGTACGACATATGTGCTGATACCTGGATTGTCTCCGACAGTCTGTAGAATATGCTCTTTACTGTCTCCGTCTTCCGCTATCCACAGTTTGTGGTGACACGGATCCTGTCTCAACAATTCGATGCTAAACAGCAGCAAAGTTTGGATAACTCAGCTGCGTTCTGTCTGGAAACGCAATCTGATACAGCCATGCAGCCTGCTCATGATATGAATATCCTGGCATTTTTAAACGGAACACTTCCCAGTTAACTCGCTATTACACACGTTAAATGATTAAAGACTAGCCGCAAATATAAACGAATGACAAATGTAACCTAGTCTACATTGCATCACAACGCCATCTACAGTAAACTTTCTTTAAACTTAATAACCCAAAAACGAAGGATTTTGGTAAAAGTAATTTTGATATACCTTGCATATATATATATATATATATATATATATATATAAAACATTGGGCAGCATATGATTTACATAAGAATTAATCACACATAAATTAATAAGAAGTATCAATGCGATTATGGCGACATCCGTACTAGAAAACATAATATAGCATTTTAAAAATCCTGAAAAATCCAGACAACAAGTTTTTTCTTCTTGATCAAAAGTCGCACTATGGATGAACAGTTTTTTAATGCATATATTATGTTTTCTAGTGACGGATGTTAACAATAATCGCATTGATATTTTTATTAATTCTATGTGATTAATTTTTATATATATATATATATATATATATATATATATATATATATATATGTATGTATGTATGTATAAGAAAAATAGATCTCCATTCGTTAAAAACTGCCCTCGTCTCACAAGCGGTCTGAATTTCATTGTTGTTAATTTTGCTTCTTTGATAGAAATAGTTACGTCGACGTCCATGAGAGAGAGGTTATTTCCTTTCAGTTAACTTTATCGAGCCAACACGGTTCCCTTGTAGGATTATTGGTAATTATTTCAAAATAAAATATCTCCAGTCCTAACTTTCAATTTACAGATTTATTTGAGCGTCCTCAATTATAAATGTATGAGACTCATCAATCACCAGTGATCGATCTGCTTGCCTGCTCCAGTTCGAATATGCAGCCGCTGATCGTATTGATTTATAAGATAGCAATAAGATGTCTCCAACACTAAAAGCGCCTTTTCAGCATTCATCTTACAAGAAACAGTTAATGGCATTTGCTTTCCTTACTGCTGACATTGAGTAAATACAGAAGAATAATGAGCTGCTCCAAAAAAAAAAAAAAAGGAAAAGAACTGAGACGCGAGAATGCGCAGACAAATGGAGAGCATTCTAATTATTTCCACCAATACAAGAGGATAGAAAACTTTAGACAGCTAATGGCGAGAATGATTAGCCTTTCTGTCAAGAATGTTAATGAATGAAATAGTTTTTTTCTTCTCCTGCAACTATTGCAATGGATGGTAGACAATTTTCTTTCAGATGAAGAGGAAACTTGAAGCAACAGAAATGTGCTTCTACAGAAGGAGAATATCATGGACGGAGCATGTAATCAATGGGGAAGTTTTAAGGAAAATTGAAGCAAAAATGACTCAGATTTAGAATCAGAAACAATTTTAATTTTTTGGCACGCATAAAGAGGAAAGAGGGTTTGGAGAATTTAACACACCCTGGACATATTGAAGCCAGCAGAGACAGGGGAACCAGTGTGTGACCGAACTAACGGGCTTGTGTAAATGGATGACAGAAAAAGGGGGTAGTAAAAAGTAAACACTGCTAAGAGCGACAAAGGATTGGAAGTTGTCGAAAGTTATAATCCCCAACGTCTTGAAGGTTGGTTGGTTGGTTGTTTTATTTAGCGGCATATCATCACCTCTATGGAGTATCTAATACCGAAATCTAAATATGGAAATTCAAACTTCGTAATTAATTCAAGAGAATGACATTATTTCATAATTAAATTATAGTTATTTAGTTACATTTTTTAACCAAATAATCTTACAAAATCAAATCCTGAGTGATAACTTGTTCCTCCTTACGTGACACGAGATTAATCATAGTGCATATGTTTTTGTTTTGTTTTGTTTTTAGTCTTTGTTTTCTGACAATGTATGCCACGTCTTCAATTTTACTATAAAACGTATTGATTGTCATTTTACTAAAATAATGTATTGTTGGTATTTTTTTCTAATAAAAATGTATTGCTGCTTATTTCACTAAAAAAATTATTTTTACTATAAATATGTATTCCTTGGATTTTTACAATAAAGATGTATTTTTATTCTTTCCTGGTGTTTTTATTTTAGTTTTGGTGTTCACTATTTTCCCATAGCTAGGACCCCTAACAGGTGCTACCACTCTGGGCCAGGGTGAACCAGGAACCAACAGCAAATAAAAGATGATTACATGCTCCTCAAAACCTCCAATCTCCCGATCAAAGGCCTTGTAGTTAATTGTCATACCCAGGATGTATTCTGAATGGACATGACATATAAAAAAGATCTCCATCTTGTACTGATTACAACGTTTCCTTCTTTTTTTTTCTTTTCACAAATTTTTATCAACGCTTTTATATGAGCAACTCATTGACGCTCGTACTACGGGTTTATACCAAAAGTATAAATTTTTATTGTAAAATGACCAACAATACATCAATGCTACTCTAAAATGTATAAAAATACATTTTATAATTACCAGCAATATTTTTATAATTACCAACAATACATTCTATCGTCTACAAAATATATATCTAAAACACATACACATACATTGAAAGTATAACATTATGTACAAAATATATCTAGCTGAAGCCATAAAATTGCTTCCAAAATATTTAGATCTCGGTATTAAATAACCCCACAGATGTCGATATGCCGTCAAACAAAATAAACCTAGCCGAACTAATCAATTTCGAAAGACATGTGAGTAAATTGAAAGGTACTTATGAGAAAAAAATTATCTGCATACGCATTTACACAAATACTTTTAGTATGTGAGCTATAGAAAAATGTTTTTCCCCCATTTGCAATTTCCCCACTATGGGCATTATTATATACATGATATAATACCTTATTTCACGGACGGAACGGAATAGCTGAAAGGAAAGAAATAAAAACATGCTTTGTTCTCAAAGAGAGTTTTATACCGCTAAGTCATACACAAAATTATATTTACATCTGTACCACGCAAAGAAACTATAACATATATCTACACAAGAAGCGGTGTGAAAATTAAACGAAAAGATATAGTCTTACTTATAATAATTCCCAACGGAAATTGGATCTGCCGGAGATACTTCTATGTTTCTGGAGAATCAATATTTAGGATTTCAGATTCGAGCTGGTCGGATTTATCTGTTATGATGCTAACGAGGACATACTCCGCAAACAGGAAACGGCGAGTCGTGGGTTTTTCTCAAATGAAGGACTGCGAACCGTATATAATTTCTATATATGCCGAAGATATATTTCCATAGTAAAACGGCGTCACGAGCTTATAAGCGGCGCCACGTGGGATCTGGTTGCCCCGGACAGAAACCCGTGTAAGGTCAACTGCTCGGTTTGACTACTGTAATCTGATTGAAGGACTGACCACTGTCGACAAAGGTTTAGAGGAAATGGAAACAAAAAGGACACTTATCAGAAACAGACAATTGAAATTTATATGGCACATAATGAAGAAAGGTGGTTTGGAAAATTTGACACTCACAGGACAAACTGAAAACAAAAGGGACAGGGGAAAGCAGTATATAACCAACCTAACGAATTTGTGTAAATGGTTGGTAAAACAGTAATTAAGAGATATAGCAAAAAGATAAACCTTATTAAGGGCTAAAAAACAGTAAATTATGGCGAATCACGATCGTCCACGTCCTGAAAGGAAATAGCATGTAGAACATAGTTGTTTTATTCCTTCACTGTGTCCTGTGAGTGCCAAATTTGTCAAGCCCTCTTTGAGTTGAATAGAAGTGCTGTGTAGAATAGTCATGCTGGTGTGAATTTTCCAATTTTGTGTGTGTGTGTGATTAATTGCTTATTATTGGCGCTTGGTTTTATATATATATATATATATATATATATATATATATATATATATATATATATGTATGTATATATGTTGTATATATATTCAAAATTATAACATATGCATGTTATAACATCTTCAGGGCGAAAATTTCTTATATATAGGCAAATACTAAGACAAAAGATGTGTAGACAGAACGATGCTTTTTTTTAATTATGCTATTTTTTGACAGCTGTATATGTGTTGTGGAAGACGACAATTTGGAACTGTCGAAATTGCTTGGCATGTGTCCTCGACCTGACAACAACTCAAATATAAGGATCTTATTATTGAAGGAATTGATAGTAAGTTCATATCTCATTAAGTTCTGTTAGCAAATTGATTTCGCCATTAATCACATTCACATTGCTATTTAATTCATTATATAAATTGTATTTTTATGATATAAAATATAAGCTGTTCACTGTAATGTATATATATATATATATATATATATATATATATATAGAGAGAGAGAGAGAGAGAGAGTCATCCACATATTTCACTGTATCACAGCTCATTAGTGTGGCTAGATATCTGATTGCTTCAAGGAGGGATCGAAACCCGACCAATTTAGATACTACCTCTAAGCTATCGGCGCACGGCAGAGAAAGGGAAATACTAACGTATTATATACGAATGTATACAAACGCCAGCAGCCAGAGTGCTCCATAAATAAAAAGAGACCAGAGGAAAAACTATTCTTAGCCGACGCGTTTCGTTCTCTGAGGAACTTTATCAAGGAAATGAAAGATTTATTTTGTTGCATGTGTTTATATACAAAAGTGAGGATGTTATTGGTTTTTCAAGGATTTTAAAATTGAGAATATATATATATATATATATATATATATATATATATATATATATGCCCATATAATTTTTTATATCATTTATCTATAACCGTATATATTTAAGACGTGCATATAAGAAGGTTCCTTTCTCACATAAGCGCACTGACACGTACTTCACTGAATCCGTTTCCCTAATCCTTTCTACTCGTCATTTCTTTCTTGTGGCTTTCAGTCTCCTTTTTTTTAACACGCTCAAGTCACATTTACGAGCAAGAATAATCGAATCGGCACCGAATTTTATTCGCCCTAGACTTATACCCACAGATAATATAAAGACAATAAACACATAAACAAACAAACAAACAAACAAACAAAAATGAATCTGAACGAGTCTGGTTGTGGTTGGACCTTGCTTTCTTCCATGATTATATGAAAGATTCACATAGCTAACATTTTCGGCCATCTTCAGAAACCGAAACAAGTGAAAGTGAATCGTACAAGATTCCAAATCTAATCTAATCTAATCTAATCTAATACGTGTTTCGAAGCGGATTCCTTCTGAAATCTCTTTATCGCTCATAAAACTTTTTACAATCCCCAACGTACTTAACAAATGCTTTTAAAAAAAATTCACAGAAAACTATAAATAACGGCAAGGAGGCTTAAGGGAGACAACTCCGAATCTTGTTAATGTCGTCAACAGTAATGGCCGAGGAGACATTTCTGCCTGGTCTTTCTACTTAATTTGAGCTTTCTCGTGTGCCTACCCACTCGTTGGGACGTATAAAGTGATCGAGTGAGTGAGCTGTTATTTTGTCGAATACTTTTAACTTAATGACTCAGTCCACTTCTCTTTTCTAGTTGGTCGCATTTATGCGAACAACAGAAATCTTCGACTAATATAAGTTTATGACCGAGAAAAATTCTTAACTCCAACACATTTCTTGTCGAATGTATAACTCACATTGTTATTTATGTCTACATATACTTAGATAAGCCCAAATACTCATATTAACACCCCAGTCCGTGGGGATCAGGAAAATGTCGACTGTATCTCCATGCAGTGACCATCTTAAAAAAGGCCCACCTATTTGCAGTACCTATGTGTAGTGACAGTGTTACCAATATTGTAAGGGTGTGTACTACATATATTTAACTTTGGCTAGGAAATGTGGGATTAACGACAATGCGTGACGCAATGCAATTTATATTTGACGTAAAATAGCACATAGTATAAAATACAAAACTGAATGTAATGATTTCAAAACATAACAATTGAATTTATTAGTGTTTGGTGTACAGGCATAAGATCTGAATGTGTGATAGAGTTATGTCTCTTAGATTTGGAAATATTTGTAATTGAGTTCATAAAGTGAAAGTAATTATTAACCTGTAGTTTAAAAGAATAAAGTTTCTTTAGCATTTTTGGAATTGTGTATTGTACAAGTTGGTAAAAGTTCAGAAGAGATTTCAGA